ATAGACAGATCAGGATTTGTGTTTCCCATCAAATTAACAGTAATGGGTAACCAGCCATCATATGGGATAACACCCCCATCTATGGCACAGATTTTTAGGTCATCTTCATCATCCAGTATTTCACTGAGTGGCTTGACAGTAATTTCTGGTAAGTATTTGTCTTTCCAGCTTTTATCGATCATGCTCACCTGAGCACCTGTGTCTAGTAAAGCAGTGACAGCAAAACCATTTAAACTACACTGGGTTAAAGCTTTTCTCCCAATGAGCTTGGCTAGACGGTCACTTTTGCTGTTTGATGAGTTATGGCTGGTTGTGCTTGTCAAGTGGGTTGACTGTCTGAGTTTGTGGTGTTTTGGTCCCTGGTCTTGTGTGGGTACACAGATGGGTACAGCATGTTGTTGTTCAGACTCACCAATTTGGTTTGTTGCATGTAGGGACTGTTGGGGCCCGGTCACTGTCTGTCCCCCGGCAGGGACCGGCTCCAGTTTCCCTGACGTGTTGGTCTCTGGAGGCAGCCCACTGCTTTGTGACCTTCCTCACCACAGTGAAAACAATGGGTACAGTCAGGACGGTTTTGCTCCAGACACTTCATGCAGCCATACCGTCTTCCCGTTTGCTTGACCCTGTTATGTCTTGGTGGCTGATTATTTGGTTCAGATGCTTGTTGTTGAGTTAATTTTTGTAGTGACTCAACAAGCGTGGTGAGTTTTTCAACTTTTTCTTTTAGTTGTTGGACCCCATCAGCTTGTGGTGTTCTGCCTAGACCCTCTTTTGCACTTGGATACTGGGCGGCATTTGCCTCAGCCTGAACACTGTGTAAATTTGTGGGTCTCTGGCGAGGAGCTGACCCCAAACGTTTCTGCCTTTCATTCTCATCACTCATTATTTTCCTCATCTGTCGTAGTATTGCCTCGTCAGTTACACCAGGGTCAGCTAGAAGGGGTTTCAGTTCTCTGCGAACATCATCATGCTTGTGCCCAAGGCCTTGGTACACAGTATGAATAAAAATGTCTTGAACTGTGCTTGGGCTGTACTTAACATCTGTTTCGGCATGTTTTGAAGCCAATATGATTTTTTGCTTAAGCCCAATGACTCTGTACAGAAATTGTTGGGGTGTTTCATTGTCCCTTTGTTTGGTACACATGAGCTCCTGGAAAAACTCTGTGTTGCTTTGCTCACCAAGATGGGAGTGTAGGAAGCCTTTCAGTTCTTCTACTGTCAAATCGTCCTTATTCATTAACATCTCCTTAAAATTTCCAGGTTTGATAACTCTGAGGACCGCCCTCACAATTTCTGTGTCACTGAACTGATCCCTTAATCCTTCATCAATCTGGCGACAAATGTTGTTGTAGTTAATGTCTGACCCCTGGTCTCCAATTTGGCCTCCCTGTATTTTAAACTCTCTACGATGAAGGTAGGAGAGATCTCTTAATGAGATCAGGCCGTCTTGAACCAGAGGTGTGTTTAATTTGTCTCTGCTCTCTGTGTTCTGCAACTTAATCTGTGATTTTTCTGGTGGATGTAATGCAGACTGTGAGTGAGTGGTGGGTATGTACTGCCTGACCTGCTTGCTAAGCTCTTCACAACTAGCAAGTAATTTCTGTATGTCAGTGCTTCCCACATCACTAGCCACCAATATTCCTTGTTTATCTGCATTTACATCACTTACAGTAGGAAGATCATTTTGAAATGTTACCACAGGGTCAACAGAACCCTTAGCTTGACTGTCCTTCAAATCAGCATCATGACCTTGTGGATTTACAAAAGGAACCTGTGTAATCCTGGCATCCGGACGCTGCATTTGTAGTTGAGATGCATGACCCTGAATGGCTGCATCCACAAGGTCCCTTAACTCTAACAAATGAGCCATGCCAGTGTCCTCAGACTCTAGCAAAGTCTTGCTGCTCATAAAACTGGTGATGTACTCGTAACAATCCTCTTCATCTGCAGACTCAGGACGAAGCGGCTCCACCTCTGCAACGGCACTCACTGACCTGGCAATCTGGAACAGTTCATCTGCAGGTAGGTTGAGCAAGTCCTTCTTGATGGACCACACCAAGCTTTTCCTCTCACCGTCTGCCATAACTGTTCCTTCTTCCAGCAGTTGACTACACCTCTCAAAGTCCTGAAGCCCTTTCTCTCTTTGTCTTTTCCTTCAACGGTGGACAGGGTAAGACGCTTTCCTCATCCGCTGAGATGAACGATGGAATGTATGAGGTCCACAGCATCTGTATCACTGGAACCGCATCCCAGTCTGGCAGGGAGTAGGATCCCGGACGAGCCCCCAAAACTGTAACGGGTACCAGGGTTCCAGACCCGTTAGCAGCCGATGATGAAGCTGAAAAACAGCATTTGTGTGAGCACACGGGAGACGCAGTCTGTGTGTTACTCCATTTTCTCAACTTATTTATTAAACAAACCAGCTCATTCCACCATCAATACATCCCAGTTCACAGTTCAGCGGTTCACTGTATTTATAGTCTATTTAGACATATTCACTCATAAACATATTTCTTCACAATTCCATGGATGGTAACATATACCTTCAATTCACTGCACTCTACATGCATACTCAATCACACACGGCGACATTTCATGGGCATGTATATTAAGCTACTGCACTGGCATAAATACCTTTGAACGCTAAACACTTCAAGTGGATACATTAAATCACTGCCTAAACCTCCAAAACTGTCCAGAACACAAACAAACCGTGGAACCTGAAAACAGTACAACACTCACTCCATACATACATACATATATACATACATATCCCCACTAGCCCGCTCTTTCCCGCCGCTACAGTGCTAACCCACTAGCATCACGGTCTGCTGGTTACCTCCTCCAGCCGCTGCTGACCCCGAAACACAACAAAACCCGTCCTATCTCTCTCAACCCATTTATACATTTTCCCAAACATTTCCCAAACAGTATAGAATAATAAAATACTTTAACATAAACATTGAGGGTTATCCCCACCTGAAAAACAGCATTTGTGTGAGCACACGGGAGACGCAGTCTGTGTGTTACTCCATTTTCTCAACTTATGAGAAACGACAGAGCAACAGGCAGCTCTGAATCCCCATGCGCCCCCTACCGATGAAACACCGTTACTGCACCCATCATTAACCTTTTATTTCCACTTTTGTGGGCACACATCAGTGGGCATCACAC